GACCTCTTCCCCCCATGCCTGCTGCCTTCAGCCCTGCCTGGCCCAGCCCACACCCCTGTGGGGTGGAGATACACTGCGGGCCTTGGGTCAGGCTCTGCTCCTTTGTGGGACCTGACATTTTTCAGCTCTTTGCTATTGAAATAAACCACCCTGTCCCGTGGCCAGTGTCCTATTGCTGCCTCAGGGAGGGGGCTGCGGCCTTCATAGCACCACAGGAAGGGCACTCACTGTGCAAGGCTGCCTTCACGCTCCAGGCTTCCACAGTGGCTAACTGCAGAGGCCCCATTTTGGCAGAGGCCTGCCTCCAGGGGACAGACTGCTCACACAGCTGCTGGCAGATGTGTTTTTTTAAAAACTTTAATATTACAGTCAGGCAGGGCAGAAGCGGTGCCAGAAGACACCACCCCTTCCCCAGTCTCAGTCCAGTGCGTTGGCCCCACACACCAGCCTGGGCCCAGCCGCAGCCCACCCTCAGTCCAGCTTCTCCAGCACAGAGGGCACGTACACCAGGCTGAGCTCGCTGCCGAAGTTGCAGACCACGGCAGCGTTGTCCAGCACCAGGATCTGGCGGGCGGGCTGGGCCTCGCTGTTCTTTCCCAGGTAGACTGTCTGTAACAGGTCCCCGTAGTTTAGGTCCCAGAAGGAAACACAGCCCTGGCCACCAGTCACCAGCAGGTTGTCGGAGATGACGCCTAGGCTTGCGCCACAGCCCAGGTCCTAGGGGCAAAGCCACGACAGGCTGTGTCAGTCCGTCACTGAAACGCCCAGACTCCCAAGGTCATCCCCCCACTGCCTACCTGCTGGATGGAGTAGAGCTTGATGCCCGTGCTACGGTCCCAGATGCTGATAAGGTCATCTAGGCCACTGCTGATGACGCAGGAGGCAGTACAGGTGAGGGAGGTGACATCGCCACGGTGTGCAAACATGTGGGTGACCCGGCTGCCAGTCAGCACGTCCCACAGGCAGATGGCCCCATCTTGTCCCCCGCTGGCCAGCACCATGGTCTAGGGGTACAGGCCCAGGCAGCAGGGTCACAGGTGTTCCCTCATGGGTGGGCCCTCACTGCTTCGTGAAGAGCCCATGAGGCTGGCTCAGGTGTCAGAATATGAGGCAACAGGCCTGGCTGGATGCCCGCAGCACCTCTGACCTCCCAGGACCTCACCTGGTCAATGTACACTGTCGTGATGGCCCCTGAGTGGCCCTGCAGGGTGAAGAGGCAGCACGAGTCCTCCAGGCGGAACACCTGGGGTGGGATGAGCAGGTTCTGGTCTCTCTGGGGTCCCACGTTACACTGTGGCCCAGGAATGC